ACTTTATTCGATAGAAAATGACACTCTGAATAGAATGACATTTCATATGTCAACTTTTGACATTTTCGCATATGGTTTATTTGAAATTGTAACATGCGGTTTATAACGACAACTTGACTTGAAATACCAAGTGTGTGGTACCAAATTATTCGTAAAAAATTGCTTTTTGTTTGTTTTGTGTTAAAATTGTTTTGTGTTGTTTGAGTTGGGTTCTTAATTAAAAATTACTGATTTTAGTACAGCCACGGCACTCTAGATTTAAATATAAAATACTATTTTTTAAAGCGAAATTGTGAAAAGTTGACCTGTAATATGTCATTCTATTCAGAGTGTCATTTTCTATCGAATAAAATAAAAAAAATATACCGAGGGTGCCATTTAAAAATCAAAAGTTGTAGTCATTTCCGGTGAAACAGGAAGTGGCCAAAAACAAGTGAATTTGTCAATCAATCCTAATTTATGTAATATACCAACACACCTTAAATCTCGTTTATTTAGCAATAGTTTACAGTACGGTTTTTGTGTATCACGTACGAATAATATAATTCAATTAAGCTTCAGTAATAAATCATAGATGAAAATAGTTTAAAATTGTTATTTGAAAAAAAAAATAAAATGTTATAGGGGTAAGCCACTTTCGAGACGCACCCGGTATAGTACAGGGTTAATTAAAACGTAATTTTTAGTATATTACTGAATAAGGGAATATACTCTTAATAGGGTACCCATCAAAAAGTAATATGTTTAATTAATAATAATAATTGATTTTTGAATTTTGATCATTTATATGTTAAACTAAAGAATTCTGTGCATACAACAGTGCGTCGGACATTTGTAGCGCATATGATAAAAAAATTAAGAATTTTGTATAAGTGCCAACCTAAAGTAGGTATGCATTAGGACGTATTTCAGGAAAATCTTTTAACTTCTATAGGGTAGCTCAAAAAAGTGTGAGTGGACAGGGATATTTTTTTTTAAATGGAACACACTGTTTATTATTGTATTTTTGGCTTCCTTATAGGTACGTCCGGGACTGTATAGGTAATATCTTTAAAGAAAATGAATAATTAATATAAAATAAGCTAAGAAAAGCACAATTCTGTTTAAAATGGAGATTTATGACATCTATTCCATTTTTCATGTATGCATACATAGATCTTATATTATACAGGGCGGTTCTAAGTGTATTCGGGAAACTTAGGCAGAATATTCAGCAGATAACTCCTACTAAGGGCGCCGCCTACATATACATATTTTTTAATTGGTTTGATGAGAAATAACTTTCCGTCCGTACTTATATAAAACTACTGAGTAAAAAAATATACTCGAGATATTTTGAATTGCAATAATCAATACATGTCATCATTGACATAAATTAAACATGTTGATTAGATAATTATTAGACTGAAATAATAAATTTGAAATGTTTTTGTGTCAGAGGTTCAACAGAAACTGTTTTATCATATTTTTTTCGAATTTTACTCAAACTGATTTTGTAAAAATTAACGGCTGATTTTAATATACCGGGTGCGTCTCAAAAGTGGCTCACCCCTACAACTTTTTTATTTTTTCAGTGCGATTTAAAAATCAAAAGTTGTGAATCCGTGAAACCGGAAGTGACTATATACTAACATACCAAATCTCGTTTTTTTAATCGAAAAAATAAATAAGTTATAGGTGTGAGCCACTTTTGAGACGCACCCGGTATTTCAGGCAAAAATATGTTCCTTCGAGGTTATAATAATACTATTGTATATTTTATCGGAATTATTCAATCACATGAACAGAAACATAAACATCTAATAAGCAAAAATCTTTATTTTGAATGTATTGTGAAATGCTCCTTTATATTCATATTAGAAACATGTAAATTGGTTTCAACTTTTCAATATTATTTAGAAATTTTTGAAATTACGCAAATTTATTGGATTTATATGAATGAATATACTTATTGCTAGAAATTATATAACCTTTGTAATCTCCGATTGGCTCTGATAGGAAACTGCGACTGCGATTTCTTCTATTTACGAGATTCAATTTAGGCAACCAATATTACTATAGTTGCGATTCTGCTGCAATTCTGATTTTGTAAACTAGGACCATAAGAATCTTCTATTTTTTCGAGTTTCAATTTTTAGGAGTTGCGATTTTGTTACAAATGTAATTTTGTGGTTCATTAAAGCATTTTATGGGATTGAATTTTTTCTCTGATTTTATTTATTTATAGAGAAGGTATTATTTTCGAGGGCCAAAATCATAATATACAGGGTGTTTCTTAAGAGTGGCTCGTCCCTATAACTTTTTTATTATTTCTGATAAAGAAAAACGAGATTTGGTATGCTAGGATATCGTTAGTGAAACGTGATAACCTGCTAACTCAATTTTTGATTTTCAGTAAATAATACATGATTTTTACGTAAATTTTTCACGAAATATTAAGTTGTATTTTTCCCCAACAAAGATTATTGTTATCTCTATATAAATATTAACGCATGAATATATTTTCTACATGTGTACATATTTTTTTGTACCGTTTCTTTTCTCTCGTCTAAAATTATGAATAATGGAGTTATAGCAGTTTATCACATTTCACAGACGACATGACAAATTCGGATGGATTCGCATATTGAATTTGTTTCGATCACTTCTTGTTTCACCGGAAACGACCACAACTTTTGATTTTTAAAAGGTATTATTTTACTTTATTCGATAGAAAATGACACTTTGAATAGAATGACATATCGTATGTTAACTTTTGACATTTACGCTTAAAAATCGTAATTTAAATTTCAATCTAGAGTGTTAAAAACACAATTTTTTATTTAAGGATCCTTTTTTCATCTTCGCTTTCAGATAAATACACCCTATTTGCAACGATATTTGTTTGTTTGTTTATAAAATGTTATAGGGGTGAGCCACTTTTGAGACGCATCCGGTAAAAGTAATACAATTCTGAGAGAGAGACTGTATGATAAGTGAAAACTCAAGAAAGGGTGAAACAATAGATTCTACAAGGTTGTTCACCACATACGACACGGAGTATTGTAACTAAACGATTAGATTTTTACAAATTATAAGTTTTGTGTTCGTTGAAGGACTATTAGAGCTACAATTTAAAAATATTTTTACAAGATACAGAGTGTCCCAAATAAGTAAAAAATATTATAATTGTATTTTTTTAAATGGAACACACTGTATATTATTCTATTTATGGATTCTACGATTGAAACAAAGGTAAATTTGTTTAAGGTTTATCACACTTAAACCTTACAGTTTTTGAAATATTTTCAATTTTGTGAAATTGCAGTAAAAATGTTAAGGTGTAATTTCTCCAAGGGTATCACAGTTTTTAATCCTAAATATTTGCTGAAGATTATTTATTGCTCAGATATTGTGCTGCAATAATAAAAATTTTACTACCTTATACAGAGTGTCCAAAAATTTATATTAAATAATTACTAGCTTTAAATGGCAATAACTTGTTTAATTGAAATAGAACACCCTATATATTTTACGTGAATCAGATGCACAATGTAATTGTCTATCAAATTGTATTATACCATTTTTTACCCATCTCTTCAAGTTTTCGTAGAAAATGTATTTTCTTATAATTTAGACCTCATTTATCACTATACCCATGGAATATTAATATTTTTAAAGATGTAACAAATTTTCAAAGGGTACAGATACTAATATTGTCGATATAGTTCGCTTATTTAATTAAAAAAAAAGTTTAATTATTTTTTGTTAAAGAGGACCAATTAATATGATCCCAGTATTTAAACTACATTAATTGACTGTTTAGGTTGATTAATATAATAATTGCTCCAAATACTAAAAAACTGAATTTTGTGTGTGTATTAGACAGTGTGGTAAAAAGTAACACCTTCTAAATTTTATTTCATTTTTTGACGAATGCTTTATTTACAAAAACAGAGACGTTCATTTTCATAACTTATTATTATATTGATTTCTGAGCCAAATTCACATTTATTTAGAATACTTTATCAATTAAAACAATTTAAAAGTATGTAATTAACTAATTTTTGGTGTTTTTGGTCGGAAATTATGGTGGTATATTTAATTGGTATACTCTTTTACAAAGATTTAAATAGTTTTTTTTGTATACCAATGGGCTGGCAATATTTACCATCTGTACATTTTGTACATATATGGTGCTATAAAAAATCTGAAATGTCAATATTCCATGGGTATAGTGATAAATGAGGTCTAAATTATAAGAAAATGCATTTTCTACGAAAACTTGAAGAGATGGGTAAAAAATGGTATAATACAATTTGATAGACAATTACATTGTGCATCTGATTCACGTAAAATATATAGGGTGTTCTATTTCAATTAAACAAGTTATTGCCATTTAAAGCTAGTAATTATTTAATATAAATTTTTGGACACTCTGTATAAGGTAGTAAAATTTTTATTATTGCAGCACAATATCTGAGCAATAAATAATCTTCAGCAAATATTTAGTATTAAAAATTTTGATACCCTTGGAGAAATGAAGCCTTAAAATTTTTACTGCAATTTCACAAAATTGAAAATATTTCAAAAACGGTAAGTTTTAAGTGTGATAAACCTTAATCAAATTTACCTTTATTTCAATAGTAGAATCCAAAAATAGATTAATATACAGGGTGTTCCATTTTAAAAAATACAACTATAATATTTTTTACTTATTTGTAAAAAAAATCTTGTAAAAATATTTTTAAATTGTAGCTCTAATAGTCCTTCAACGAATACAAAACTTACAATTTGTAAAAATCTAATCGTTTAGCTACAATACTCCGTGTCGTATGTGGTGAACAACCCTGTATAAGGTTGTGGTGATTAACTTTTCTCCTCATATACAATTTAGTCTAGAAGTCTAGATACGCCCCTGGTTCAGATACTAATTAGGTTTCAGTAAGTTGCATTAAAATACAAACTAAAGAAATACAATAGAAAAACTTTAACAAACACCATTTATTAAAAAAACATATTACAAAAAATAAATATTACCTATCATAAAAAAATATGATGTATGAAACTTCAGGGAATGCTATTGCTATTAAAGTACTATACAAAAACTTATCCATCTTTAATCAAATCAATTGGCTTTTAATTAATGCTATAGAAATATATATATTTTTTTTAAGTATTTAATAATATCTACCTAATAATGTTAATGTAAAAGAACACATCGAATTACTAAAATAAAAAAAAGAAAAGAAAAGATAAAATTTAACAAAACATAAAAGAGTAAGATAATCAAAAGTTAATTTAATATAGAAGACTAAACTACTACATATATCGTTGACTATATTGTTGTTATATTGACTATTATCAATATCCACCCCTCTTATTATTTTCAGCTTTTCAATTTTTTATCGCTTTTTGTATAAATTCACTATTGCTAACTATATAAAACGCTAAGAAAGGAATGGTAGAAATATTTTTTTATACAGAAAGTACAATAATAATACGATAAAGAATGTCTTGAAGAGCTTGTCGACTACCCACATCCTGGAAAAAAAAAAAAATATAATTAACAACAAATAAATAAACAAATTTAGTAAATAAAAAAATAAAACCATTTAAACAAGTTAATACTAAACTAAAGGTGTTGGAAAATATTTATACTAAAATTTATGTGGGGGTGGGGGTAGTTTTCACCCTTCCCGTGCTTTTTCTTGATTTTTGTAAAAGTTAGTTGTTAGAGCACTTAGCCTTCTAAATAAGGTTAACAGTGAAAGTCAAAGACTGGGTTTAAACATAAATACTACAAAAACTAAATTTATGGCTGTTAGCAGAAACAACATTCCGAACACCAGAATTTACTTAAATGGAGAGGTCATCAAGCAGGTCACACAATTTAAATATTTGGGATGCATGGTTAACGAAACGTGGGATCCGGATCAGGACATCAAATGCAGGATCGAACAAGCAAGATCTACTTTTCTGAGACTGCGAAGATTTATCGCAGATAGGAATTTGAAGTTCGGCCTTAGATACAGAATGGTGAAGTGCTATGTCTGGTCAGTTTTGTTATATGGTGTGGAAGCATGGACACTGAAGGTAGCAACAATAAACCGAATTGAAGCCTTCGAAATGGGGACCCTACGACGAATGCTAAGAGTGCCCTGGGCCGACCGTGTTAGAAATGAAGACATTCTCAGAAGAGCTGGTCTGGAACAACGTGAACTCTTCGAAATCATCAAGAAGAGGAAAATAGCCTATTTGGGACACATACTACGTGGAGAACGCTATCACTTTCAGCGTCTGATTCTCCAGGGTAAAATAGAGGGGGGCAAAATGGGGATAGGACGAAGGAAGCTATCCTGGCTGAGAAATATTCGTCATTGTACAGGCATACAGGACTTCCAAGCACTCCAAGTCGCGGCAGTTAACAGAACCATCTGATGAGGAAGAAAAAGATGAACGCCTACGCAGGAATCTGCACGACACCTTAAGAAGAAGAAGAGCACTTAGCAAAACCCAGATACCCAAAATCCCTTTCAAATCGGAATAACGGTTCTAAAAATGTGTTTATTTCTTTAAAGTTTGATGCCCTCTAGCGGACAAACGAAGCAGTTTTGTATAGAGGTAAATTGTGTCCAACGAACTTATTTTGATTCCAAAAATACGTAGTAGTTCTATGTCCACGGAATATTGGGAACCCTGTATTTATATACAGGGTGGTCGAAATTGGTCTGTTTTCAGAGAAAACCTATTTTCTGGCTAGATAGAGCAAAACCGACATAGATGTCATGGGCTCAATTTCTGAGAAACGTTTAAAGGCGAAGACTGCTGCCTGGAGGACACTACCCACTAAACATCACCCCCTCGCTCCTGCCACGTCTACCTGGACCCGCTGGACGCATCTCCTCAAGTAGATGCATCTCCTCAAGTAGACGCGTAGTAAAATAATGGCGAAGACTGCCTGTACCTATTTTCACTGCCAACTGAGATACGGGGTCTTTTTGAATTTTTTACCATTTGGAAAATTGCCCATAACTTTTTTATTTCGCAGAATAATAAAATTCTGTAAAAACATTCTTAAGGCACTTTTTTAAGCACAATTCAGTGGCGTAGTCAGTTTTTTTCTATGTTTGCTCTTTTTATCAGAAATAATGAAAAATATAATTTTTTAAATGGAAATCATAGTTGGCTATGAACTTAAAAAAATGCTGGCGTTTAACCCTTTCCAACGATATAAAGTTATGGGTATCTATTTCTAAGAATGAGAGAAATATTAGTTTGTTAATCTTTATATCGAAGCGGGCCTTGATTTTGTGTTGACTTATTTGCCTAATTATTTTTATCACAATTTAATATTCTATATTATTATTTATCTGCAAAATTAATTTAATAATATTTCTCTCATTCTTAGAAATAAATACACATAACTTTATATCGTTGGAAAGGGTTAAAAGCCAGCATTTTTTTAAGTTCATAGTCAACTATGATTTCTATTTAAAAAATTATATTTTTTATTATTTCTGATAAAAAGAGCAAGTATAGAAAAAAACTGACTACGCCACTGGATTGTGCTTAAAAAAGTGCCTTAAGAATGTTTTTACAGAATTTTATTATTCCGCGAAATACAAAAGTTATGGGCAATTTCCCAAATGGTAAAAGATTCAAAAAGACCCCGTATCTCGGTTGGCACTGAAAATATCAACAGGCGGTTTAAGCCATTAAACGTTTCTCAGAAATCGAGCCCATGACATCTATGTTGGGTTTGCTCTATCTAGTCAGGAAATAGTTTTTCTCTGTTAAGACGACTTTTGTTTTCTCTGTCAATTTCGACTACCCTGTACAGTTTGCTAAAAAAATCATGAAATAGGGCTAAATCACTTTAAATTTGACGAGAAATTTTTGCGTTGCATTTTTCTGCATCTGAGTGTAGTATGAAAACTAGAAGGCTAGACTTTATGTACTAAAAAAATGTAGTAAGGTTTTTCTTGTTAAGGCTGTGTCCACTCTCTTTCCACCACTGTTAATACTTACACTTTCATATGTCTTCTAGCTGCTGGTAAAGTGTCATCCGTCTCTTTCAAAATGTACAATCTAGCTGCGTGGACGCAATCCGTGAAATATTCGAAGTAATCCACTCCGTCTCCGTCCACCTTGTACTTTTCTCTCTCCAGTGGATTCATCGTTTTTCGCGCCTCCATACAAACGTCGTTGTTGAAGTCCCACTGGTTGTTTGCGTAGTATTCGAATACTTCGAAACCTTTGAGGATTCGTTTCTGGACTCTTATCAATCTACAATTATTACAAATGTTATTGAGATAATGATCATTCTAATAGTAACACAAAATAATTTAAGGATATGTAGGCATTTCAACCAATAAACCATTATAACCAATGACTAAAGAAGGCAGAGAATATAGAATAGAAATTATAGGGGCGCCATTTTTTTTGGTGGCAAACAAAGGAGGTGACACCAGGGACAATTTTACCGATTTTTAATAGTTTTTTGTTTGTAGTAAACTTTGTATAAACTTTATTACAATGGTGATTTGTTCACCTTTAAAGTGTAAAAGCTGCAGCGAGAAGAAAAAGCCAGGAGTTACGTTTTCTAGGTAAATTATACTACTAGGTAAATTATACTATGAATTCTATAATTATTTTTCTGATATACTATGATTTGTGCTACATATTTGGGTATAATAATTCATACTAGTTTTGTGCCTTCTTAGAACGTTTTAATATTTTTTTCTTTAAATGATTATATAGGGATCAATAAGACAAAATTTTTATTAAAAATATAAATAAATAAATATTATTCATAACTACATAAGTCTAATTTTTAGTAAGTAACACTAAGTACCAACTTAAATTTTAGAAACTCCCCAATTTAGTCGACATCTGGTACCATTTACAAACTAGTTTGGTGAGCTAAAAAACTGAATAATCCATTTTTCACGACTGGCGATGGACTTCTGCCAAACATATGCGGGTAAATCACAACTGGGAAGAGTACCGAACAAAAAGATAACAGAATGTATGCATGTCCAGCGAAAAATGCAGAGGAGACAACTGGTATGGCATGAGTGAGGACCGAATACCAAAGAAAATTCTGAAATGGGCACCATCAAAAAGAACAAAACAAGGGAAGGCCAAAAGCAACATGGATTGGTGGAATTCAAAAAGCTAGGTTGGAGAGGGATTCTCATCTCTGGAGCTAAGAGAACAGAAATGAACATAAAAAAATAATACTTACACTGGTTTATATCCTAAAATAGTTAATAAGGCATCGACTAGAACTGCTGGTACTAAATGAAATAAGAAGAAACAAATATAGTGAACGATTTTCGATCGTTTCATAGATCCACCTGGATACCAAGCCACTCCGTTTAGGGGTATCCTTTCTTCTATAACCTGAAATTAATTATTTTTGTTTTTTAAACCCAAAAAAATAAAATAAAGGAGTGCTTTAATATTTAACATGATATTAATTTAAATGAAGAAGTTAAAGAAATGTATTGTATACATACTCGTCTTCCAATATTGATAATTTCTTCCATGGTTATTTTGTGCTCGCTTGAACTTGTTAAATTGTATATCCATCTGTCGGATCTGAAAACAAATATATTAAATAAATAAATATAATAGATATAATATTCTTATAGGGAAATTAAAATAACTTTGGTTGCACATCATTATACGACCACCAGCAAACTCCATAAGACGACGCATGGTGTCATTGATGACGTGCACCCAAAGTTGTTTTAATTTCCCTATAGATCTTTAGTCTCTAGTATTCGATGACATCTGAACCTGCAATGGATACATATAAAATACTACAAAATCAGTTAAATTTTATATAAAAAAACATATTTTTGTGTTTGTAATTGTTTTAAAAATTAACCGTTTTATTTCATGTGGTTTTAGTCAACAATAAATTAATAATATGTGTAATCTAAAATCTATTCTTCTATGAATATTAAAAAATAGGTACTTAATTTTGTCTGTCTTGATTTTTTTTTAATTTGTAGTAGTAGTCATTTTGCCGACTTAACTCGCAGATCATCATGATTTAAATAAAAAATAGAGAGTTAAGTCACAAAAATGACTTAAATTACATTATATTGATTTAAGTCTTTACGACTTTTTTAAATGACTTGACTTGAAATAAAATGATTTAAGTCAAAGACTTAAGACTTAAATCATTTGAACTTTATGTTGAATATGACTTAAGATTTAAATCATTTTGATTTTATAAATGACTTAAGACTTAGGTAAGTCTTTTTGAAATTGACTTGTTGCAGCTCTGCAAGATAAACCTTTTAATCGGCATTAAATGGCCTACACAAGAAATGTTAACAAGAGAAAAAGTCAGTGGTTTGGTTTTTATTCCCAGTTTTTTTGGAAACATAATTCAGTGATTACCAGGGGTGGATGGGCCATATGGGAAAACGGGAAAATTCCCGGTTGGCCGGTGGGAAGATGGGCCGGTGGCCCGGTCTCGATCAGAACTCAAAAAAAGATCGGATTAGCAAAAATTAAATGGTTAATCTTCTAACTAAAGTGACGTAAGATTCTTAGTGACTCCATAACTAACTAGTCAATTTGCATCAGTATAATTGTCAGTTGCTTTTAGACATAAACTCCAATTTGTAAAATAACTATTGTAAGATGTATTTCTCTGGGACACTGCACACATTTTCAAACACAACAAACATCTGTTGTTTGTTCGGTTTGAAAATTTTTATTATATAAGGAGAGTCTATAAGTGCAAATATTTTCAGGGCTGGTAGATCTCAATAAAAGAAACATAATATATATTCTTTTTACCGAGTTTCAAATAAGTTCAATCGAGTTATTAAAGTTTGGAAATTTAAAAAAATAGATTTATTTTTAAAAAAAATTGAACCACCTCAATTTTTCGGTATTTGCATCTCTTTTAGTCCCGTAATATCAGAGATTAAGAAAAGCTACCGTGGGAAAATTTGCGGTGAATAGGAAGTTTTAAAAAGTTTTCTAAAGTATACAGGAAAATTTAAAAGAAAATGCTCGATTTTTATCATATTTTTTTGCAAAAATCCTCATAGACGTGTTCCTGATGGGGTCGAAATATACCACCCCTGAAACTATTTGCACTTATTTAAGGCTCACCGTGTATAGTTTTATCACTATTCTTTTATTAATAACTAATAAAAATGACTGACTGGCAGCAGAAAAAAGAATGAATAGCATTAGGCAAATTTAAATAGTTTCGCTCTAAGTGTATACTAAGAATACGGTAGCGTAGATTTACAACTGGGGGCCTCAGTGCAATATTTTTCGAGCTCCGCTTTGTAAAAAGGTAGACGAATTTGACGCCAACTCTGGGGTTGACAGTGAAGATACAGTGGTGGCCAAAAGTATGGAAACTTTTTACTTTTTAAAATATTATAGAAAATATTGCTATGCTTAAACTCTCAGGAATATAAATGAACAGCTTATCAGCAAATAAAAGTATTCCAAAAATTACACAGCGAAAAAAATCTGTTTAGCAGTTTTTGTAGGAGAACAATAGATTTCTTGTGGCCAAAAGTATGGAAACCATAAATAAATACATTAAAATTATTTAGTTTAAGCTGATAAACGGTACGATTTGCTTCAGATAAATATAAACATCATGCCCAAGTCTAAATATTTCTCTACGGATTTAAAAAATAGAATAGTTGAATTATACAAATAAGTAAAAATTTAAACATTTTAAAAGGCACCGTTTCGAAAATAATTCGTAAATTTAATAAAACAGGGAACGTTTCAACAGCTTTTAAGTCAGGAAAACCAAGAAAGTTGTGCAACAGGACAATGAAAGTAATGAAGAGAATATCAATGGGAGATCCAAGAAAAACATCCACAGACATTTCTTGAGAAATGGGTGAAAGGGGAATATCGGTGTCTGCACGCACGGTGAGAAGAAGGTTGGATGACATGGGACTTTTTGGAAGAGTTGCGGTGAAGAAACCACCAATATCAAAGAAAAATAGGATAGCCCGCTTTAAATTTGCTCAAGATCATCTCACCTGGTCTTATCAGAAATGGAATACTGTACTGTTTAGCGACGTAAGCAAGTTTCAACTGTTTGGTAGTGACGGGAGACGTTATGTCCGAAGACCAAAGGTACACGGTACAGCCATAAGTACCAGATGCCCACAGTAAAAACATGGGGTGGGAGTATAATGGTATGGGGGTGTTTTTCTCGTTCAAGTGTTGGTCCTCTTGTTAAAATTGATGGGATAATGGACCGTTTTTTGTACAAAGACATATTGGAGAATAATATGCTGCCTCATGCTGATGAAGAAATGCCACTCAGATGGTTGTTCCAGCAAGACAATGATCCTGAGCACAAATCTCGGTTTGTTCAAAATTGGTTAAATGAACATAATGTTCCACTAATGGATTGGCCCTCACAGTCTCCGGATCTTAATCTCATTAATAATCATTTGGATAGCAAAATTCGAAGCCATTCTATTTCAAATAAAAATGAATTATGGGAAGTGCTAAAAACTGAATGGGCGGCCATTTCCAGTAAAGATTGTACGAGATTGATCGATTCGATGCCACGAAGATGTAGAGAAGTAATTAATTCAAAGAGATATTCCACTAAATATTAGTAATTTTTATATTATCTTGAATTAAATAAACATTCTTCTTAAGTTTCCATACTTTTGACCAAGAAAATATTCATAATTTTTTATATATTTTTTGATAGCTGTAATTTTTTATTTAAATGTATCAGGTTTTGTAGGAAATTATTTGTAGGTCACGATTATATAAGTCGTTTTATTTCATAGTTTAATTTTTCAGCATAAATGACAAATTAAAAAAGTTTCCATACTTTTGGCCACCACTGTATATCTATGTTTGGTTTGAATTGGGGAAGTCTGAATACTAAAAGCCAAGTCTAAATTGTTGTTTAAAATGTTGCTAATATTAATTTACTCAAAAATTATTGAGACAGCAGAGAAGATTTAAATAAGGTTTAAACTAGATTAGATAATAAAATATTAATATGTCTCGAAAATCCAAATACTCTTATTATAGACTGTAACATAGCATCACATCAGAATATATTTATATCCACTGCCTAGGTATTGCCTACGTTTTTTTTCGTTTGAGTCTTGGCATTATCATACAAGATGCCAAATGTAGAAAAGTATAGAGGAAAATTTTCGTAATAAGAAAAAGGATAAGAACTATACAATAACCTAAAAATGCAGCTGTTTTAATGGCGACCGCAGTTCATTAAGTTAAAAACACGTATACACGACGAGGCAGTGCCTTCTATTAAAAGATCAGCCTACGGGCGAGATTTATGACGTCACGCTAGTTAGATATAACGGATTAATAAATATGTTGTAGAATACATGGAAAACATAATTATTCCTCAGATTTTTGGTTTGTATTTTAAAAATGATATAGTTTACATGAAATATACATAATATACAGTTAATAACTACAACATATATACCTATTTATAGTAATAAATACTTTGGCAAATAAACTATGAACCATACAAATGCAGCAAATGTTTTACAATGTACAAATAATGTATAGGTACATAAGATAATGGGTAAAATGTAAATATATTTTAAATTTTCGGGTTTGAAAATCGATCTAATTTAACAAAAAACATTCAATATCTACTAATAGTGATGTATTATTATTTGCATTCACAAAATTTATATGTATATTTTGCAAGTATCAATGTTCAAAAAAATAATATTTACAAATAATACAATATTATCTAAAAAAAGGCGTCAGCGATGGCTATGAAATGAAGATCGCTGGCATTTTATATGTAAAATTATTCTAAAATTTTTGATTTTCTTGGGATTTTAGGTTCAGGGAAAAACGCTGATTTAAGATTTCATTTGTTTTCCATTATTTTTATTTGGTTTAAAAAAAAACGTTTCGGCTAACTATAGCCTTCATCAGTGTTGTGTCATATGAGAAAAATAATGTCGATATATAATCCAAAAATTACATATACAATATAATTCACACCTCATAATGTTTACTGCAATTAATAAACTAATATAAACTTATCAAAAGATGACCACATATTTTTTAAAATTATTATTCTTAACACTAAAATTATCTACATTGACTATGGAGTACGCAGTAAACATTATGTGTGTGGTGTGAATATTTTATATGTAATTTTTTGGATTGTATTTGACACTATTTTTTTCATATGACACAACACTGATGAAGGCTATAATGTTAGCCGAAACGTTTTTTTTTAAACCAAATAAAAATAATGAAAACCAAATGAAAAACTTAATCAGCGTTTTTCCCGAACCTAAATCCCAAAAAATCAAAAATTTAGAATATTTAGAAACAAGGTTCAAGAATATCAAATTTTCCAAGATTGTAAAATTCTAGTTAATTATTTTATGTGTACAGTTATTTAGGGAATGTCATCGATGTTCATTTCCAAGCCAACTAGACGCCGATTTTTTTCGATGATACGGTATAATTCTTACGTAAAATGTAAATAACATTAGACCAATTAAAACAAAGAAATATGAATTTCTTAGTATTTTTAGTAACACCTTTATTCTTAAAACTTAATTTTGTATTATGCAAATATACCAATTTTATTGTTATTTTATTCATATTGTATTCAGCCATCACTTAAATAGTTGATATTAATATGGTATTATAAATAATCAACACTATTCATTAAAAATTACTGAAAAAATATATGTTATGCTTGACAACTTGACATACATTATATATTATCAAACAAAAACACATTCTTCTTTTAAACTGTATCAGTCTTGTATTTACAAAAATCTTTTTTAAAATTTGGACTCAAAATAATAATCTTTTTCATGATCTTTAATACACATATTCTTTATTTTTCCCTAGATCATAATACCTACTTACGTGTTTGAATCTATCGAAGCTGAACCAACAACACTTGGAGTGGAGATTCCACAATATGAATAAAATAAACATAATTGTCCAGTTTTCATTAATACCATCATGGGAGAATATTATTTTTAAATTTATTAAAGATATTTTCAATAGAATTCTCTTGATTTATAACTCGTACCCACTTTTCTTGCTCTTCCGGACACTTTAGGCTGCCTAGTATAACTATCCTTTCCACCAGGAACACAACAAAGATGAGGCATAGCACCAAAAACACACTCCACTTAAGCTTTATTGATGAATTGTTAGAGTCTTAAAAAACACACACAAAAATCACGATGAGTAAAAAATGTATGGGCACTTTTAGGTTAAATCACTTACACAACGTGTAATTTTTTAATTTTTCTATTTTTTTATGCGAAACCGAGAGTGACCATATATCTGGTAGTAGTTTATGTCACTTAAACACCAAAATAATTAGTTTTTTGCACTACAATAATAAATAATACCAAAAATCATAGAGTTAAAACCAAAAATCAACCGACAAAATATGAAACGGAATCTAACATCTAACCCGATATCTAAGTATGTACAGCTGATGAAGTAAACAAAAGTCCGCCCCCAGGCTGATCTTTTAAAGAACGGCAGTGGACGAGGCTGCTGCTGTACTAGAAAATATTTCTTTCTACAATGTGTAAGAAAGTATATACCTGAAAAGCTAAAAATAATGTATTTCACAGAGGATTGGGTCAGCTGAACTGAATGAATTTAAAGTTTCTCAAAATCGTAGCCTATTCAAGATCAAATTACCGTTATCGATAATGGAAATAAAGCAGTAGAACCCTGTAAATCTGACCCATTTTGTTGTAAAAATTCAGATATCAGACCCAATATCGATCTTTATGAAAATTTTGATAAAGACAATTTAAAGGCAAAAGAGCTTTTTCGCACGAGTAAAAAAACACCCTTACTTATATTATTACGTATAAATAAAATATGTTTCTTCGTTATAGTCATTTTGTTTTTGTGGATTTGGGTCGGTTGCCTGTTTTTCCCGGGTCGGTTTCCACTTTCCCATCCACTCCTGGTGATTACACGTCTCTGGTAAATCTGTCGACACTTTCTTAGACTTTTCTTAGTATTAAAATATTATCACTTATAGTAACATTTGCGTTCAAAATTGCATTCGAGTCGCTAAAAACACTTGGAAGAAAATTATAATAAACAGGAAAGAAATTCAGACTTTATCCTTCTGTAGCTACGAAACAAATCAGAATCGGACGTATGTTGATAGAAGAAATAAATCTTAATTTAGGTGAGGCATTACCCCACGAGGAGCTGGCATATGTGTTTTTTGAAACACCTTTTTTAACCTAACTTTGGTATGACTAGACAGAAAGTTCAAAAGCTCGATATGCTGCCAGAAGTTAAACACAGTATTGCATAAATTGTGACTATAAAAAAAAACTTACTTGTTACCGACATAATCGTAAACAGATAGAACAGTCGCGTTTACGAATATGTCCACTGGCATGTAATCGGCATAACTATCCGTTTGGCAGTACATCGTCCTGATGACGCCTTTTCCAGCACCGATCAGCAAACCCGTAGGTCCATTGATGTTGTCCGTCCAGCCTGGCAAAGGCTCTTTCCAAATAGGTATCACTAAAAAACAAAACACATTTTAAAAGATTTGAATATACAAGATATTATCTCATATATAATCCAAATTCATTAATTGAGGCGTCAAGTTGCAAAACCCGCCTTATCAATTTTTTTTAAATGGCCTAATGACATATATTAATACTGGGAACCCTGAAATCTACATAAACATAATCCCAAATTTCAGTAAAAGTCGCTTTCTTATATAAAATTCACTACAAATTACTGCAGCAAAATCCGTCTTATCCATTAATATTTGCTTTTTATTGTCATTATTATTACAAATTCCGCATTTTTTCATAAGCTTTTTACACAAGTATAATATTACTACTGCAGTCTTTTCAAATCCTTACTTAATTTTAATAAAATAGTATATTTAATAAATCAAGTTAGGATGCAAATATCGTATGATCTAAAAAAAATGGCGTCCAGTTAGCTAGGAAATAACAATCGATGGCATTTCATATAAAAATTTATATATAAAATGACAGCGTTCTTCATTTCATAGCCAATAGGCATCATACTGCAACAAAACCCCCCTTATCCGAATTATTTTTGTGGTTTTTTTGTGGAAATTAAATATTAATTTTTATTTCTAGAAAAATGACATACAAAACAATGATTCTATTCAATGGACACGTTTTTTTGCAAATTAACACTTCAAACATTTGCTAAAACAGTTTTTGCTTATTATGTCGAAGACCGATTTTGCAATTAGGTTATTTGCGAATTATTTATCAAATCGAAAATAACTGACTTAATTATAAAAATATCATAAACATACAGGGTGGTCCGAATTGTAATCGGGAGATTTTGGCAGCATATTTTGAAGGAAAAATTAAGTGAAAAAGTTCATATAAATTTATGTTCTAAAATTCTTCGTTTCGGAGACAAAGGGTTTAGAAGTTTCATTTTATAGATTTTTGGGTGTCTTTTGACATAAGAAATTTGATATCGATGTGAATATCACTCTTACTTGTAGGGGGCGCCACCTACATATTTTTAAACTTGTTTGAAGTGTAATAACTTTTCGACCGTACCTGTAAAAACTAATGAGTGAAAAAATATACATTTTTTTAAGTAAAAATGGTCTCTTTGCAAAAATCGCTACGAACAACCGTTCTCAAGATATTTGGAATGGAAATAGTCAATACATGCCATCATTGACAAAAAATAAAGATATGTTTGAAAATTCTTTATTTTTTTAAATCATAAATTTTTCTACAAAATATTATGATAAAACAGTTTCAGTTGAACCTTTGGCACAAAAACATTGCAAATTTATAATTTCAGTCTAATAACTATCTTGTCAACATGTAAAAACGCCGGAAATGCATTTTTTCACTCATTAATGTAATACAGACGAGAACGATATATTATTACACTTCAAAACAGTTGAAAAATATGTAGGTGGCGCCCTCTACAAAATCATATTGACATCAAAATCAAAGTTTTCATGTCAAACAACTCCCAGACACCAATTTTCATCCAAATATTGACGTTACTTCACAAATTATTTCGAAAAAATCGAAAAATAAAAATGAAACTTCTACACCCTATAACTCCGAAACTAATCATTTTAGGACATACATTTAACGAAGTTTTTTACTTATTTTTATCTGCAGAATATGCTGCCGAAGTTTCCGGAATACAGTTCGGACCACCCTGTATTATCTGGCTATTTTTTCTAATGGTGGTTTTATTATTATTTTTTAAAAATTAGGTGTGTTATTTTGACTCTTACCAACCGATGGTCTCAAAATGATTACTGGCAGTTTATCTTTCTGTTCCACAACCAAAGCTTCTCCTAACGCCTTGGTAAAGGCATATGTATTTGGAATATCACCCAATAATCTAAAAAAGAAATATAATTGAATATAACTACGCTAATGTTAATAACAGAGGAGTCCAAGATGCTAAATGGGGATTTAAAATTGGATGCTAAAAAGAAGAAAAAAAAAAGATTATACAAAGAGTTAGGGGAAAAACCGACCATGTCCATTTTATGAAATTTCTAAGTAGTCAACTTAAATTGTTGAGAATAGCAACTACCAAATACGTGTTAAATTGTAATTGAATATAACAAACGATGTCCGAATAACGCATCCAGTAATACATTTTTGTATCTTAACACCATGTTGAAGATACAAAATTTTGGGGGTACTTAGCAGGGTGCAAGGTTTTTCCCTTGTGTTATTTTGACGCGCTTGAGTAAATCCCCAATCCTGCCTTCGACTCTACTACAGTAAAACTTCCCATTTCGGCCACTTCTAAAAAGCGGTCACTTCTGTTAGCGGTCAATTTTCAGTTGTTTGAATTAATCTTAGGGGAATTCCTATATTAAAATATTTCTCAATAACGTTAATTCCGAAAGCGGTCACCGGCCGCTTCTAAAGGTACATTTTAGGGAAAAACCCATTAAATTTATTGCCCCAATACCGGCCAAAAACCGAACCCTTCGAACCTTTTTTTTTGTCTAACAAGAGCTGTTTCAGGACACTTTAGGAAAGTCCAAGCAATAAACATTTATAATTTGTTTGAGAAATAGGTACAGAGAGTGACAAATACAATACAAATTCGTCAGTAGTTTGCTGAAATTTTTGGGAGATATAGAATCAGTTTAGTTTCTTACTCTGAAAGAACAGCAACCATGTCTTTGAAACGTAAACGTTTGTCTATTAAAGAGAAATTAAATATTGTCGCGGAAAGTGAAAAATATAACAGCAGTGCTCGAAAGTTGGCGGAAAAGTTTGGTGTTGGAAGAACGCAAGTGAACGACATTTTAAAAAACAAAGTGGAATTAAAAAAAATGTTTGAAGAAGAAGGATGCAATGCAGATAAAAAACGAAAGTTTCCTAAAACAGAAGGATTTGCAATCGATCAACTAGTTTACGAATGGTTTTGTAAGGCAAGGAACAAAAACATACCCATATCGGGAACCTTAATTCGGGAAAAAGCTCTTGAGGTATCTACATCCTTGAAACTTAGTGAATTTAAGGCTTCAACTGGCTGGTTAAATAAGTTTTGCAAGAGACATAATATTAACTTCAAAACAATTTGTGGTGAGTCTGCAGATGTGGATGAAGTGACTGTTGAAGACTGGAAAACAAAATTAACAGCAATCATTAAGGAATACGACACTAAAGACATTTTTAATGCAGACGAAACAGGGCTTTATTATATGGCAATGCCAAACAAAACCTTTGCTTTAAAGAATGATAAATGTGCTGGCAAAAAATCAGCTAAACAACGAGTGACACTGCTTTTCTGTTGCAGCATGCATGGTGAGAAGGAAAATCCGCTAGTTATAGGTAAGAGCAAAAACCCGAGATGTTTTAAAGGAGCGCATGTAGATAAATTGCCGATAGAATGGGTATCCAACAAAAAAGCTTGGATGACGACAGATATAATGACATCTTGGCTCAAAACCTTTGACACCAAAATGAAACGGCAGGGTAGAAAAGTTCTTTTATTTTTGGATAATGCCACGTCTCACCCAAAAATAGAACTTGAAAATGTTCGTATAATTTTTTTTCCTCCAAATACGACATCTCATTGCCAGCCGTTGGACCAAGGAATTATTCAAAATTTTAAATTAAAATATCGTCAATTTTTTATTAAAAGACTTTTGACTTTTACTAATACCGAAGAAACGATGGAAAAGGCTAAAGAGAGCATAAATTTGGCAAGTACTATGGTGTGGATAAGTACAGCATGGAAAAATGTTACATCGAACACTATAAAAAAATGTTTCCAAAAAGCGGGATTTGCAACCGTCAAAGGGGACGATGCATTTGACGAAGAGGACGACATTCCTTTAAGTCAGTTATCTTCAATTTTAAAAAACATGCCAGGAAGTCCAGATCTTAAAGAATATCTGACAGTCGATTCAGATGTCCCTACGGAAAATCCTAGTTTAGAGATGCAGGGAATAATCCAGGAATTTACAAACAACAAGGACAGACAGGACTCCACTCAAGCCGAAGAGGAAGAAGATGAAGGCCAAGACATTCTGTGTTCATCTATAAATAATATGAGTGAAGTATGTGAAAAATTAAGAGACATTCAGAATTTTTTGGTGATTCAAAACAAAGACGAACTAGCGGTTGATATTGCCCATACTTTGATGAAATTTGAAAGTGAAATTACAAAAATCAAAATTAAAAATTTAAAGCAGACTACCATTAATCAGTTTTTCACCATATAAATAAGGTTATCATTTTGTAACTTTTAAAGTCAATTGTACATATGTATATAAGAATACCTATGTGTAAAATACATATGTATACATTGTAAGTTTTTTTTCAAAATTATTATGTAATAAAAGTTTTTTGTAACAACTGAATTATTTTTTTGTGCCAAAATCTAAAACTGAAGATCATTTATTAACACTTATTGTGTGTTTGTACTACATGCTCGTACTTAATTTTAATTACTTTGCACGTTTCCAAAATAAAGGCATTTTACATTGGTATCTGTATTTTATTGTTCCCAATAGTGGCCACTTCCCTTAACGGCCACATTCCTTTGAAAATTTTTGTGGCCGCTCTATGGAAGTTTTACTGTATTAATAATAATAGCTCCCGTATATAGCGTTTAACGCCTTGGAGTAGCAAGTAGCAAGGCACAGCTTGCCATGCTAGAGCCGTTCGGTATACAAGGCAAGTAATGCGGCTAGCATATTTATTTTATTAAAAATAGTTGGCTGATGAAAAGTCGGCTGCAGGATTCGAACCCACAACCTTGAGATTGGTAGATGAGAGCTGTACCTCTACGCCATCGGGCACCTCTCCTCTACTATTAACTAGATTTAATAATAATACAAGCATTTTCTCGTAGTGATCTAGTTTATTACATTATGTTGTATCACAGTAAAAACAAAATATCAACTTCTTACGCCACCTATTCTGAGAGCCAGCTGTTGCTGTTCATTTTAATCCTTCTGTGACAATCTATAATTTATTCACTAATAAATATTATAAAAACTCGGTCAACTGTTCACAATAGCTTTTGCTTGTTTCGATTTTCTTTAAATGTTTTATGTTTTCTTTTAATTAGTATAATTAATAGAGGAAAGTATGGTCCTTATGCAATTAGTTCGCGCGTTACATTAATAAACGGTACCGTTTTTTTATGTAACAAGTGTCGCTGAAAGGTTAACAATTTTAATAAGAGAAGATATTAAGTTTTTTTAACTCTCGTGATAAAAAAAGAATCATTATTTGACATTGGGTAAAAAAAATAAAGCTAATAATGTAGTGTTTATAATGCAAAATAATAACAAATGTACAGGGTGGCTCGAATTCGACGCTCATCATTGGGATTTTGGAAACCGTAAGAGATACAGGATCGGTTAAATGGAGGTAAAGTTGCGCAATTTGATGCTCAATGAAATGCCGTATTGCATTTTGAAAAATTCCGAATACTTCCGAATATATTCGAAAAAAAAAACGCAATTTTCAATTTTGTTTTCTATGGTTTCCTGGCTTTATTTGTTCAGATAACTTAAAATGAAAAACACATTTTCATGGCCACTTTTTCTGCTCTCTAACTCTGTGTGATTAAATATTGACTCTGACGTTTCGGCTTCTGGCGACCATCATCAAGTTATTTATTTTAAATACGGACATGATTTTTTTTCAATTTAATTAAATCCTTTCATCACTCTTAAAACACTATATATTGATATTTTGATATTTGCCGACGTTTCGTACAGAAAATTCCATCACCAGAATATTTTGTGCAAAGAAAAAAAAAAATTAAAAATAAAAATGTAATACAGCATTTTATTGAGCATCAAATTGCGCAACTTTGACTCCATTTTACCGATCCTGTATCTCTTACGGTTTCCGAAATCCCAATGATGAGCGTCGAATTCGAGCCACCCTGTGCATACACTTTAACACTATAATACAGGGTATTTTGTTCACACCTTGTCAGCAATTTTTACTTGTTAATTGCATTTTCTCAGATGAATAATTAAAAATATAGGTCATTTAGGAAGTGACAATGTTGCATCCCTTTTAGTGCCGTAACTATGAAAATATCAGATATTAAGAAATTATACCGTGGGAACATTTGCGGTGGACAGGCAGTTCTAAAAAATTTTCGTAAAATTTACAGGGAAATTTAAAGAAAACGCACGATTTTCAACATTTTTTTGGGGGAAAAAATCTCATAGACGTATTCCTGGGGTCAAAATATACCACCCTCGAAAATATTTGCACTTATTTAAGACTCACCCTGTATAAGAACATTACTTCCCTAAAGACAATCAAATTTAAATAACTGTTTTAGTATCATTTTTAGTATCATCACTTTCTGCACATTAAATTTTTCTAAAATAACATAATTTTCGACTGATTGAATTCAGTTGACGGAAATTTAGACGGACAAATCTGGTCACTTTAATTTTAAGTACCTAGTTTTGTATGAATTAAGAATTAATCAAAAATACTCACTTCGGTGTAATCATGTCAATGACCTCCTCACTCATCCATTCAACAGTTCTGATCATATCGTGGGGATTTGTTGGTGGGGGATATACCTTTTCATATAGAATTTTTTCGTTCAAATGGCAGTATGCAGTGGAAACGTGGACAAAACACTAAAAAATACAATAATTAAATAAAAACTTGTAGGTAATCAAAATGAAAAATAAATATTTTATTAAAATCAAGCGATAGATTTATTTTAAAAAATGATTTACTTCAAATTTGGAACTGTATATACAAAACTTTGTTTTAAATGATAAATAATATATTGTTTTAACATGCTTCCAAGCAATAATAATAAAAATAATGAAAATGCACCGAACTTTAAAATATTTATTTTTTTATAGAGATTTACTTCTTACTTTACTTCTACTACGAGTCGCCTTTGACGTAGCTGTTCTTTTGTCTCGCTAATAAGAAAATTAAAAAGCTTTGCAGGATTGAAGAAATCCAAAAGCAGATTTCCTTAGGCTGCATGCAATTTCTTTAATAACAAAGTAAGAGTTTATGAGGTTGAGCCTCTATGGCTTGGCTAATTAATAGTCCAAGAGTCGGTGCAAAAACTTGGAAGAGTTTTCTGAAGCAAAGGTACAGTTGGCAGAACGTCCCAGAACTGGAATCTGGGACACCTGGCGCTGAGAAGCGCGCAAAGATGTTCAAATTTCAATTAATACCTCCAAACTGTTTTCTGAAGGCTGAAAATTTGTAGGTAACATTCGAATGCAATGTAAAACAAAAATATAACAGTCAGACAGAGCAGTATGGGGACACAAAGCGTCAGCGCTACCTCAAACGCGCTGTCAAAAAAATGTTGACTCAAAGTGATTTCTGATTACTGAAACTTTTGCAAGGTAATAGTGAAAACAATATATTTATTAATAAAAACAGATCAGACTCGTCGATAATAGAACCCCGTCAGTCAGCTGATGGAAGTGAGAAGAGTAACAGCGTTAATTAGAAGGTAAAAAAGAGTACCTACGGGCGAAGTAAATGATATCTAGGGCTTGACCTCACCAAAGTATCACCGATTGTCACTTCCCAGCCGTCTTTGACGCGGTTTTTTCGTATGGTAATTTTGTTAAAAAATTAATTAAAATTATGCTTACCTTTAATGCTTTACATTCTTTTGCAAGATCCAACATTAGTTTGGTACCTCTAACGTTGAGCAGCACAGCCTTTTTAAGTGCCTCGTCAAATCGAATGGTGGCAGCACAGTGGTATATAATGTCTACCTCTTTAGTTATCCTTTCTCTATCCTCGGGACAAAGGCCTAGATTTGGTAAACTAACATCTCCAACGATAGGTACGATTTTCTTCAGGACTTCATCTCCTTTTTCTTTCCGAACTGTGTCAAATAACTGAAAAAAAGAACAACTTAAATAAGTTTTATCTACAATCATAGGCTTAGCCAGGTTTTGACTTAGGGTGAGAAAAAAATAAAAAGTTAGTACAAAAGGTATAGTACAAAAATCTTCTTTATCTTATGCTTTTACTAAAAAAAAACAATAACTTCGTTCTTATCTAGTGACGAGCAAATGCAAGACTCGCTTGGTCTTGGTTTTGCAGGCTAATAATAGTCTTGGTCTTGGCCTTGCTGCAAGATTCTTGCAAGTCTTGCACATTTTAATAGCTCTTTACTAAAGGCACTTTCTACAGAGAAAATAATTAAATAAATAATATACAGTATGTCCCCGGATTTTCTTTACAAGAGAAAACACTTTCTTATTATTGACATTTTGAGAAAAAGGCATTCTTCAAAAAAATTTTGCTCGTTCTAAAATGGTTAATCCCGTTATTTACTATACCGTTTCAGAGAAAATTAAGAAAAACATAAAAATATGGTTGAATTTTCCGAAAAAGTCCTAAAAATCAAAACGCGTTTCTATGGTAATATAACATAGTTTTCATTCTTTGGTAAATTGTTGTTCATAGAATTTTAATTAACGTAATATTTTTGTTGTTTTAAAACGTTAAAGAAGCACAAAATTTATTTAGTTCAATGCTACGGGAAGGGTGATAATAGTTATCGGAAAATAATATGATACTTTCACAACTGCATAGAGTATGATGTTAATCAAAATTAATAATAACCATCCATCAAAGAATGAAATCGAATTGATATTACCATATAAACGCCTTTTGATTTTTAGGACTTTTTTTAGGCCAAATTGTCATGTTTGAAGAAATAATATTTGTCAGATGAAAATTTTTATTTTTTAGTATACAGGGTGATCCTAAGTTAAATCGAGAAACTTCGGTAATATATTTCGCAAATAAAAATAATTAAAAAAGTTCATATAAATTTATGTCATAAAACGCTTCGTTCCGGAGATACACGGTGTAGAAATTTCATTTTTATTTCGTTTCTTTCCAAATAATTTCTGAGCTAACGGCGATATTTGAATGAAAATTGGTGTCTGGTTTCTGTTGAACCTTTGGCACAAAATAATTCCAAATGTATTACTTCAGTCTAATAACTATCTAGTCTAGATGTTAATTTTTTTCGTCAATTGGTTATGGTCTACAAGAATCTTCTCTAGTCGATCAAAATAGAGAGGGATGGTGAACAACCAACCACGCTATTGAGACATGATGTCACCATAGTAGATTGTATGGGAGCGAGGAACTTAATCACCATGACCTTGTATATCTAGTGTGTCCAGTTTCTTGAGCTATAAAGGTGCGTCCAGACCAGACGAGACGAGCGTGAGACAACCCAAGAAGCCTCGTTGCTATCCGTCCCGGCCGATCCAAGAAAGCTCGCGCTACAGTCTAGACGTGTTTTTGGTAGGCTCGCTCGACTGCGAGATATTCAGTTCGCAAATCAGAGCTGATTTACGAATTTCGACTATTTAAAATTAAATAATCTCAATTTTGTAAATGGTACATCGTATGTATTATCATTTTTCTCTTAAAATTTCCAAATTTTGCGTCACTGATAATTTTTACCGTACCGATATCTAACATTTCTCTAAATAAATTGAATTATTACAAAATCTATTAATTTTAGTAATCTAATAAGATCGTAGAATCTAATAATAAAATAATAAAATAACAAATAGTCCCACTGAAAAATATTTATATCCGCAACACTTTTTTTAAGTACCCTGTATACTCTACAGTAATTTTGAAATGTGCTTCTTAACCATCCCAATAACTTTTCTATTCAACATTTTGTTCTAAAAAACGTTAAAAAACTTATTTTGTAAAAGACGTCGTGTCTTGAAACAAATGAAGGGTTAAAGGGAAAAACAACCAAAAGGGAAAAAAATACGACGAACCAAATACTTATTTCTTACTCTATCCGTTATTATTTGGCCATCGCTTGTTATATTCAATTACAATTTAATATGTGTTTGGGTTCCTTTCACTATGATCCAACTCGCTTGTCTCGTGGCAGGCTTACCTCAAAAAATGGATAGAAGTCTCGCTCTTGCCTCGTTCTCGTCTCGTCTCGTCTGGACGCACCTTATCTCATCATACAGTGTCAGAGCGTTTACAAAAGCCAGTATCTGAGACGGTTTTACCGAGGTTAGTTCTCTATCTCCAATATCACTTGTACCAAAGTTTATGGCACGAATGGTTGTCATTTCAGCGCACGCAGTGATGAGGTGTTTTGGTGTTTCCCCATTTTCCCCTCAGAATCTGCATCGGCTGTTGTTTCTTAGCTTCAATCTACTGGGGTGTCCATTAAGGAGGCAGTGTCCTGTTAAAAGCTCCGTGGCAATCTGAAGATCATTCTTACTTAATTCAAAGAAAAACTTTGACTTTTCTCGGTCGTAAGTCCTGAGAAATTTCTTCGAGTGTCTTCTTAAACCCTTAGAGGATTTCCATTCCAGGTTACAGGTAGAGTCTTCCAGGTTCTTGAGTTCCGCTTAAGTAGGTTTCTACTTGGGAAGCAGAATTATATGATGTCACCATATTTCTTTCGAGAGTTTAAGGACGAGAAGAAGTTACATATAAATATAATTTTATATTTGGACAGTAAAATGTTTTTAATAATTATTTAGTATTAAAATATTTATATTGTAATAATACTATTTTGAAATTTCAAAAAATATTAAGCACGTATTTACTTACAATAATCAATAAAATATTTTCTAATAATTACTCCTTTTGAAATTAAATAGCTTTTACCAAATCTTCTCTTTACATAACTAATTTTTACTGTTCTTTTATTGTTAAACTCGTAAAGTGGTTGACGTGACGACATATGGTAATAAACTAAATATTCTTGAAATACCTACTCGGCAGACCTTGGCCATTTCTGGTATATGCAAATAAAATATAGTTTTTACAGATTAGAGATAAATGCGTATAAGATATGGTATAAGCATTAACCAGTTAAATACTCTGAATAATTTTGCGGTTCGTTTGTTACAGTATAGGGAATATCGATAATACAAAGATTTAGTTAAATTTTACTTTTTTGCAATTTTTGATTGTCTTTTATGACTGTTTTTTTTAAAAGGTTACATTTAAAAAAAAAGCCCATATTAAAAATCGCACATTTCACTATAACAATATACACATTTTCATACTTAATAAACTGTTTAATTCAATTTTCAAACCAGTTTTATAATTTTCTTTTCTTGAAGTGCAAAAGTTAATAAGTAATAGCAGTTATTTAATTAATAATTTACATATTTATTTAACTACCTCGATATATTTTTCATTTAATTCCACTAATATTACAAGAAGTCTGTTTTAGGGAATTTGAAAGGCAGATAGAAAAATTGTTGCTATTGTACACAAGCCATAATAACTATTTTAAGCATTCTTCACATATTTAATTAACATAATATTCAACATTTAAAATGCAGGTCAATATCAGAAGAATTTAAATACTTATACACGTTTTGATGGAAACCAACACATTTTGAGCTAATGCTTTTTTTTAAGAAAAAGTCACTTATTTAATTTGGTAAATAGAGATTTCATAAATAGGGAATTCACGATATTTTTTCCATTATATATTATATGTAATTCAATATATTGTGGCAATACAATAGTCGCGTTCATCAGGACGTAGCGCTACTGCAGCGGTCACTAGTTTTCTGCTGAACGCGCTGATTAGTTGTGAGCGCTCTGGGATCAGTCGCCATTTTTTCTATCAGATTTAAAATACGCTACGCTACCGAGGCTTAAGCCCTCCATAAACGTCACATACGCCAAATGTCACAAAATGTTTTGGAAAAAGAACTTCTTGGTTGTCTAAAACCCCTCGATTTGTGCCAAACATGGGTGAAAACAATTTAATATGCATTACTTATGATTTTGATAATCAAATTTATGAGGTGATGCTGATCTACTGGCTGAAAAAGATCAACCGCTCATCCTATTATTAGATCTACATCTAGAGTGTCTTCTCGAGCAATTAGCACTGCTGCTTGGATAGGATTCGTTGTTGAAATTGAAGTCAAATTAATGTATAAAAGTACATGAAGAGTACAAGTGCAAAAATCAAAATATAAAATCTATAGATTTGGATTTTTGAATCAAAATACAAACACATAGCTAGCACAGCTTAAGTAAAAACAGCTCGGACAGTGTAGCGTGCCGTTTTGATCTTTTTACGCTCGGATTTGCGATTCGAAAGAGGGAGAACACTAGAGCGGCGAGCTCTCTCGCCACAACCAATAGCCGCGTAAGCGGCAGTCAGCCCAGAGATGTATTAAAAAAAAATTTACACGTGACGTAAAAAATTATTCGACTGGTGCTAGAACATAATTTAGATACACGTTTTTTAAATTGTTGACTTGTTGAATAAATATGCATTCTCAAAGAAAAACATTTAAAAAACAAATTAATTAATTTATTCCTAGAAATAACAGCAAAATGAAATAGGTACATTGATTACTTATAGGTATTTACGAATGTTTCCAAATTAGGAGCTTTCGGTTTTTGTTTGCTACATTTAAGTTCTTATTAATATTCTTTAAGGTATTAATAAATTAACTTTTGCGTATAATTTTAACAAAAAATACATTATAGGAAAATTTTGACAAGGATGGTTGAATTTAATTGTCTGAAATAATTTAACGAATTTACATAATATATTTTCATTTAAGGAAAGTTCTTCAAAATTGTTCTGATAAATTTTATAAAAAAAACCATATATCATATATCCTATATATCAATTTTTATGAAAATCGGTTGACTTTGAAATTTTGACATGTCATTAAACTGTCATTTTTTCAAGATGGCCGTCCATATATTTTTTTCATATGTATATACCCACAATATACCTATATATATAATTTTAGCCCGATCCATTCATAAATAGAATTTTAAAAATCAAAACCTCAAAATGCCGCCATTTTGACAGCTGTCAAAAATTCGGGTCATGCCTTGCAAA